AGCTTCACCCAAGAATAATACACTCTTTACTTATAAGATTTGAGTGAACAATGAACAATCAGTCAAACTCAATGCATCAGAAGATACACGAGTGACATACAATTAACAAACGAAAACCCTAGGGACGAACCAAAACAACAGCTAATCTTTATTCTCTAAATTCTCACGATATACTCTCTTCTTCAAATAGAGTTTTTCTTCTCTTTAAATAGCCTTCAGACTTACTGGACTTGGGCTTCATGAGGCGCAAAAATAGCAGCAATAAGTATAAACTAAATGCAAATCAACCTGCATAAAAATAGGAGAAAATAAAAACTTTCCTAAAAAGGCTCATGGATCATTTTTATGAAAAGTAAGAGAATCTGCAATAACAAAAATTCTCACAAAATACTCCCATACATGTCGTCCAGGTGTGCATCAAAATACACTAAAAAATACACTAAAATTACCAAAATAGCCATGCCCTAGCTACCTAGTATAACACGTCTTGGAACATGTCACAACATCATGTAGAACATGATGTCTGACTGACATGGCAGAACATCTGGTCCAACATCTTGCTAATAGCATGTTGTTTTACCAAAATGCAGCCAATCCAAAAACCACAGGACTTACAATAATCTTCATACTTAAAATAGAGCAAAGGTTGCCAAACTGCTATGTTTTCGTGAATCATCCTCCAAATCCATTTCGACAAAAGAGCATGGTTAAATAATGAAAGATCCTTCACTCCAATATTACCTTGGTCCTTTGATTTACAAATAACAGACCAACTAATCCAAGCCATATTTATTGAACCGTTGAAAACCCGACCACATAAAATTCCATTGGATTGGCACCAATGAGTTCAAAACTTTTGTCGGCACTTTGAAAAATGAGAGATAATGGATATGAAGATTAGTAAGAACAGAGTTAACGAGAGTTACTCTTCCTCCCATAGAAAGCAACATGCCTTTCCTATTTAATAATCTAGCTCTGAAAGCGTCAATGACCGATTTCCAGAACAGGGTTCTTTTATGATTGTCACCAACAGTTAAACCCATAAATTTGAACGGAAGGGTACCGGCATTACATGAAAGAAACTGGGTAGCAGTCGCCAAGAACACTTCGTCTAAACCCAGACCATACAAACAACTCTTACTAAAATTTATGCACAACCCCAACACCATTTCAAAAGCCCGAAGGATTGCTTTGATACCTCAAAGATTTCTCTTATTGTCTTCGCGCACAAGAATTGTATCATTCGCGAATTGGATAATACTAATGGATTTAGAACCATTTAAGACAAAACCACCAAAAATATTCCTTCTTACCGCCTTTCTAACAAGCAGAGCTAATCCTTCTGCTACCAAAGCATAAAGAAATAGGGACAACAAATCCCCTTGCCTAAGACCCCGGGAGCATTTGAAGTCTTCTGAACAGCTTCCATTTACTAACACGGAAAGGTAATTGTTGCAAACACCCGCCTGTATCCACTCGCCTGTATCCACTGCAGCCATTTTGATTCAAAGTTCATGGCCTTCAAAACCCTTAACATAAACTCCCACTCAACGCAATCGTAGGCTTGAGCGAATCCTACTTTAAAGAGCATACACCTTCTTTTTCTCCTAATAGCCAAGTCAGTGAGTTCGTTCGTCACAAGGACATCATCGAGTAATTAACGATCGGGAATGAACACTGACTGAGATGCAGAGACCAAACCACCAATAACCTTGCCCAACCTTATTATCATAATCTTTTATTTTATTTTATAAATACAATCTACTAAACTGATCGACCGACATTATTCTAGATTTTGAGGATTCAACTTCTTAATTACCGAGAGTAATAAAAGAGGAATTCAATGTCTTAGAAAAAACATCATAACTAAACCAAACTTGTGTCAGCTTATCAAAATAGATTAATATTGTGAATGGAAAAACAGAAACCATTAAATATGTGAATTTATATAGAGGGGTTAAATCTGTTACCCAACTCTAACTCTAATCCAACATTTCTTTAATAAGTACTTAATTTTCATATTTTTTGAATTTATACCTTATTTTTAATAGTTTATACTATATTTTTATAAATTAATTTAGATAATTCATAGTTTATTATTTTTGTTCTCTTAAAAGTTTAAATATAAATAATTATAACATTTCATTCTCGTGAGATAATATGTTTAATTTACTTAATCTACTTTGTAACATTGATGACCTCCAATAAAATTATGGTTGTTGTAAAAATGTTAAAGTTTCAGAAATATATAATTAAAAAGAAGTCAAAATAGTAAATAATAATTTATTAATTTAAAAAGATAGAGTAAATAAAAGTTCAATTTTACAATTTAAGTCGACAATTATGATACACAATCTCTATAAAAAAAAAAATTCAGTATACATCCACTCGATAATTCCCAGTACACGATTAATGCTATTTGATCCTTTTCTATAATAACCAAATGTCTTTGGTCTTTGCTCTAAGAACAATATCCTCAACACACTATTTAATAACAATGGGCATGCTAATTAGTAATTAGTGATTAAAAATTAAAATACCATGGGCCATAAAACAGGTTGATTATTTCCAAATTTGGATTATATTAACTTTTTCATTGGTTATCATTTATCACTAATATAAACACCAGACCAAATTTCACCGGTTAAGATTTTCAAAATTTTGTCATTATTGTATATATAGAAATATTGGATAATTCTAAACTAATTTGGTAAGCATATTTCATGAATATAAATGTATATATTCTCAATTGAGTAAAGTCATTAAATAGACTACACGATTCATTAATATATGATTTTTTGGGTGAATTCATTAAGGTATGATTTTGTACAATATATCAATATTTTATAATCTAATTACCATGTCTCTTCCAAATTATTTTATTAGTTACCAAAATATATGGGATTCACAAATCTCTGCTTTGTTGCTTGACGAAATGCAAATCTCTACTAATCAACCCACAAAATAAATTTTAAAAAAGAAAAAAAAAAACTAAAACCCACAAAACAACATTAAGTAAAAATAATAATAAAAGATTCAGATTCCGTACTATGAGAAGCAACCAATCACAAGTCAAGAAATACTGATTTTTAGATAAAGATTAAGTGGTGTAAAGATTTAAATAATATAAAGATTTTGTACCCTAGCAATAATTACTAATTGTTCAATTTTTAGACAAAATTGATATTTTGTGATTGTTTAAATGTAAAAGAAAAAAATTTGCATTTAATATAGTAGTACAGAAATGATATTTATGATTGGTTAAATGTAAAAAATTTATATTGATTGTCACCTAAATTATTATTTACGAAAAAAAATCAAATTTTGAAATGTTTTATACATTCAACAATTGAGTTTTGCATTAGACTTCATCAAATCAATTAGTTTTATAATATGAATTTAATTCATATATAGTGTCAATGTAAAAATGAACTATTAATCAATCATTATCATAACATTAAATAAATTATTTGATATTAATTACAATTATGTCTAAAATCATATCTATAATTGATCAAGATTTATTAAAAATATTAAAATTTTAATACCATAATTTATCAAAATTAAAATCGTTTACTTCAATAGTCATTAAAAATAAATATTAAAAAAAAAGTCTCAAAATATACACATATTTTTAAATTATTAAAAAAATCATACGTAAAAAATTTTTTTAAAAATAAAATATGAATTAATATAATTAAATATATTGAAATATTAAAAATCAAGATTTTGACAATACATATTGAAACGATATTTTAGATACAATTATATATTAAATTAACATATTAACTCAACTATTATATTTTTAATTAAGGGTGTATTTATTTCATAATTTCAAATTTTATTTTTCTCAATATTTTTTTTAGAAATTTTATTCTTAAAATCTTATTCCCAAAAAAGTGAACGATATATATCTTATATTTCTAAGAGCTTTTTTAAAAAATATATATATTAGCTTATTAATATAAAATTAACAAAATTAATAATACTTTAGAAATTTTATTCCAAATATATTTGTGATAACTTTGAAACAAATATACCCTAATTGAATCATAACATATTTTTTTAAATCATTAATTGGCTAATATGTATTTCATTGGAGATTTTCAACTACATAACTCGAAGAAATCCAAACACCATCAAAATGACCATAAAAAAATAAATAAATGTTATGAAAAATAATAATAATAATAATAATAATAATAATAATAATAATAATGGAGTCAAAATACATATATCAATCAGTGTAATACTACTAACTACCTAGACAATGTAAAATATTTCTACTTTGATATGAAATAAATTAAATCTTAATAAAAATCACAATAAGGTAACAATAAATAAAAAGCAATAAATAGAATTAAATAAATGTCTTTTTCATCCATAATAATAGAGGTTGCAAGTGAATCACAATGAGCTAAATCTTCAAAAAAACAATAACGCTTGAAGATACTACTCACCTTTCACTTGTGTTGTGTAACCTTATAAAACAAACACAATTTAAGGCTTCTTTTCTTCTTTCAGTTTTTTGTTTCACAAATCATAGGGATCCTCAAAATAAATATTCAATCCTAACCGTCCAAATTAATCTCCTCCTTTTTTATTTAATTAAAATTTTGTAACAATATATCCTCTTTTCCATGCATGGAATTCTCCTAAAACTGCAGTATCAGTATAAATAAAAACCCAATTCTTGAATTTTTTTTCTCCATTAAATTCGTTGCTTTGGAAACTGAATAATTTGAAGGGTTCTTCTTCTTCTTTTGTGCCTTTTTTTGTGGGTCTAATCTTTTGTACTTCGCAGAACTGTCACATCTTAACCCTTTTTTTATTCTCTCTTGATCATCTTTATAAGTAACAACCTTGTTCTCCATCTCTTGATCATCACAATCTCGGATCTTGCTTCGTTTTTTCACGAGGTAAGAAGAGTTATAGTTTTGGTGGGTTAATACTGTTTTTTCTTGTTGTTGTTTCTTGATTGATTTAGATTCGGAAGTATTATGGAAGAAAAGAAGTTTGTGTGTAGGTTTTGTTCCCGGAAGTTTCCTTGTGGTAAGTCTCTTGGTGGTCACATAAGGACTCATATGATGAGTGAGAATGAAGAGAAAAGAATGATGAATGCTCCTAGTAATGGTGGTGCTGCTACTGTGTTTAAGTTTGATGTTGCAAGAAAGAGAAAGAGATCTGAATTGGGGTCTAGTAGTGTTGGTGGAAGTGGTGGTGATGATGGAAACTACATTTATGGTCTTAGAGAGAATCCCAAGAAAACAACTAGGTTTGTGCATTCCAATGCTGCTGCTGCTGTTGCTGCTACTGTTCAGGTTGAAAGATTCTGCAAAAATTGTGGAAAAAGTTTTACGTCGTTGAAAGCTATGTGTGGTCACATGGCTTCTCATCCTAAGAGCTTACTTAAAGGCGTGTCTGGTGTCTGTCTCAGCCAGAAACACAAGTTGGTTATAGATAGTCAGTCGGATACCGAGGATTCGGTTCCGACTGATACGCGGAAATTAAAGAGAATGAAGTTGAAGATTCTTAGCAACGATAACAGGCCGTCTTCGTCTTCGCCTCCATTGGGAAATTGCTCTTCTTCGATCTCTGAGGTGGATCAAAGTCCTGACGAAGTTGCTAGGACTTTGATGAAGATGTCTAGAGATAAGGGTCGTTTTGCTTTGGTGAAGGAGTCTTCTGATAACACCTCTGCTGTTGTTGAAGCGAAATCGAAATCGCCTACCAAGGTTGCTGCTATGGATCATGGTAAGAGCAATGTTGGAACTGAGAAGAAAGTGGTCAAGGTTAGGAACTTGAAGTATTATGAAGAAGAAGGTTATGATTCTCACAATTCTGATTCTGGTTATTTCCTATACGGTCCTAAAAAAGTAGAATCAGATGATGCTTCAAGCGAGTGGTGCTTAGGGAACCGATTTCAGAATCATGATTATGAATCAAGTAAGAAGATACAAAGCAATAAGGGTTATGAAAGAGATAGTTTTTCTGATGATTCGGTTTATGAGAGCGATGAAAACAGCACTGACAGTGATTCATATGCTGCTCCAAAGACACAAACCAACAAGAACAACATGAATGGAACAAAGAGTGGTAACAAGAAGTCAAGCTGCAAAGGAAAGAAGAAAATGAAGTCAAAGAAAAACAAAGAACATGACTGTCCACTCTGCGAGAGGAGTTTCAAGTCAGGACAAGCTTTAGGAGGTCACAAAAGATCTCATTTTGTTGGAGGCTATGATGAGAGCACTTTTGTCATTAGGCCAGGTGGTTCTGCTGCTCAAGCTCCACCTCCCGCTCCGGCTCCGGCTCCAGCTAATCCTGGCGTAATTGATTTTGATCTTAATCTACCAGCTCCTGATGATGAATAAGAGCTTAATTTCATGATTTTGGAACATTTGTTTTGCAAAGAAAATCTTGTCTTTTTATCCATATGATGAGAGCATTGACAATGTACAGACAAATGGGTGTATTCTTTTTTTGGTTTCTTAAGGCTTTTTTTAGATTCATTATTTGGTAGGAGAAGTTTGTTTCTTTTCATGTTCTTGTAACATGGTGACAATTTTTATTAGTTTATCAATTGAATTATTTTTTTCCTTTTCCTAAGTAAAATCATATACTCTTTGATTATTATTATTGCTATTCTGCATATATTTTTCTGTTCAACTCATTTTAATGTTGGGGTTTTCAATTGTTTTGTTTTCTACAATATCAAGATTTGAGAACAGCATTTCTCTAATCCCAATGAATATCTTGGTCAAGAGGATTATTTTTATGAGGAAATTGGTGAATATGATTATTATTTATGAGAATCATGCATTTACATAATTGAAACACCGGGGTCCAATTCTAAGTTCTCATTTACAATTTGTGATTTGTCTTTTGGGAGGTGTGATAATGAAATAGGAGTATGGATTACTAGTTTCTCTCTCTCTCTCTCTCTTCAAATGTGATCAAAAAATATTTTCCAGTAACGTGTAGTTTTTAGAATGCTATAAAAATGGTTTAAAATTTGACATTGGAGGTGCTCCAAAGGTTACGATATTTTTGAAAATAAAGAAACAATTTTTTTTCTTTCTATTTTTGAATTTGGCTACAAATTAGGAGTAGCATAGAACAATAGCGTTTTCGATATTACTATGTCAATCCAATATACCCGTGAAATTAAGGAAGAAGATTGCAAGTTCAAATTCTAATTTAAATTTAAATTAACTAGCCCTATTCTTTTGGCGTTGAAAGATTATTATAATGTTGAAGATTTGACTGGAAATAAAAGTTTTACTATTATTTGTAGAAGTGAGGTGACATGCTTTTTAAAATATTAGAATAAAGGTAATATCGTTGAATTTGTAGTTTATCAACTCATATTTTTTAAAAAAATATTTGTTTCATAATATCATTATTTTGAGTTAAAATTTTAGTTTTATTAATTTATTACATATTTTTTTGTATGTCGACTAAAGTAGTATGTAGCTTAAAGTTTATTATACCTTTTGACTTTTCTCTTCATTTTATTCTTGTTATATTAATTAAATAATTTTATTACACTTTATAAATCAATCGATTTTTTTAAAAATAAACTAGATATTTCAAAAATATTATCAAACAATTAAGATTTTCAAAAAAAAAATACGAAATTAGCCACAATTCAACATCATGTCGCCATGGTGATTTGCGACTTAGTATAATGGAAATGCACACGTCATGATGATTGACGACAATAAGTGAGTTGGGCTGTGTCGCCATCCTGTGTGGCTACTAGGCCCAATTAAATTTTTTTTTTGTTTTAGGGTTTTATCAATTTATTTTCATTTTAAATAATAAAAAAAAACTAAAATTCAATTTAAACAATTTAAAAAATATATAAATTTAAATAATTAAAAAAATATATAAATATGAATAGATTTAATTAAAATATTTATACAAATTAATACATTTTAATTTAAATATTGTTTTTAAATTGATTTAATTAATAAATATTGTTTTTGTGTTATAAATATATTTAAAATTTTAAATTATAAATGAATTTAAATAAAAAATAAAAAATGATTTAAATATAATTTTTAAACACAATAAATATAAATAGGTTTAAATTTTTAAACACAATAAATATAAATAGGTTTAAATTTTAAAACATAATAAATATATGATTAACCATTGAATTTTAAAGTATATAAATTTTGTAAGGGTATTTAAGACATATCATATGGGACACGTATAATTTTATTTTTCTATAAATACGACTGCAAACACATATATGTTTCCACAACATTGTATACCAAAAGACTGAAGTGTCAATAATTTAGAGTGGAGTGGAGTCTAGAATGTCTGAATTTCTAAATCAACGTTCTTCGTCGTCGTCATCAGCATCTGAGGAACCCTTTCCAACATTTGATCTAATGAAAAGAAACGCCCTAGTTTTTTTCCCAGCAACAAAGCCTCCGATGAAGGTGCTCCTGTGGAATACGCAGACGTTGGAGCACCTGCATAGGGAACTGAACCACTGGCTAGAAGGAGATATTGCTCTAGGAGAAAAGATTAGGAAAATTGAGAGGTTGGTCGAGGAGGCTGGGAGAAACGGAGTTACTCGTGAATGGAGAAAAGTGGAAAATGATGCTGGTGTTCTTGTGATGATGTTAACACCAAAGAAGATAACGTTGATGGTCGTGATATCGTAGAAGCCTTGGTGCATTGTTCTATTTTATGTCTTTATGTTGTTGTTATTTTCGGAATGTTGTTGTGATATTAAGTTATGTTTGTTTAATTTCTGTTGCTTGCTAATTGTAATCGGTTAAGTATGTTTTAAATGGAATGAAATTTGCTATTGATTTAAAGGGACACAGTTACATATGAAACTATGATCTGCTGCTTGATCCTATGTTTGGATATTTTGTATGATTGTGTCCTGATTGTCGGCACGAACTACATAATCTTACCGTCTTGTCTGCGGTATCCATCTCCATTCGAATGCGCGTGTTGTTAGGGTGACCCTTTTTCTTTCTGCGCATCAAGTCATTATGTCATACAATTTCGCCTTCGTATCGAGGCCAATAGTCCTCGTTTGCCACCACCTGAAAGCTACATATGTAGACATTGCATAGACTTATCACTTGGTGAACTGCAGAAAGAAGGCTGGATAGGTCCTGGCGCGCCTTCGAACATGCTGCTATAACATGAGAGCAAGGCATACAGAATGTCTGAAACTTCCCACAATCACACCAGCTCTTATCCAATTCAACACAGTAACATCCCTTAAGCCTTCCTTCATTGTGATCAATCGACTCGGCAACACTGAACCAACCATTATTACGATCAAAGATTGTGACCACGTGTGTGTTGGCTTTGACAGCTTCGTCTTTCATGAATGTCATTGAAGTATCACTGTACAACTGACCCAATTGTAATATTGAACCCCACTTTGTACGTCTGCTATCAAAGAGTGCACCTAGCCTAAAATATGTTGCCTTTACCAAGGCAGTTATTAGGAGGTTTCAGATTCCCTTGAAAACAGAATTAATTGATTCAACGAGGTTAGTTGTTATGTGGTCCCATCGCACCCCATTGTCGTATGCCCGTGTCCATTTCTCTTTATCAATGTTATTAATCCATCTTAATACATCCGCGTTTGTTAGTCTGATCTCGTCACAGTAGTATTTGAAGGTGGATTCTGTTAGTGCATATCCTGCGTTCACAACCTTCTTCCCTAACGTCTTGTCTTTGATTTCCCGTATGAAATTTTGGGCGATATGTCTTATGCAATAGACGTGGATCGAGGGAGGTTCCTGCCAACCGTTATCAAGGTTGTTGTACGCGCTCTCAATTGACGGGTGTCTATTATAGATCAAACATAAGTTAGGTTGGGGAGACACGTAAAAGCGGAGATTTTTTAAGAAAAAACTCCAACCCCCAACAGTCTCCCCTTCAACTATAGCAAAGGCTATTGGAAAAATGTTGTTGTTCCCGTCCTGTGCCACAGCCATGAGTAGGGTGCCCTTATATTTCCCGTATAACCATGTGATGTCAATTTAAATTATAGGTTTACAATATGCAAACCCTTTGATGCATGGTTCAAACGCCCAAAAGAGCCTGTGAAAAATTCCATTTCCACCCACGCAAATCCCGTCTGGTGTACACGCAGGCATTGTCTCCAATATGGCAACAATCCTTGGAGAGTAGTGTTTAAGAGCCACCAGGAATTTTAGAAGTTCTTTGTACGACTCCTCCCAATTTCCAAACACCCTTTCAACCGCTTTAGTCCCAGCAATCCATACTTTTCGGTATGAAGGAGTGCAATTGTACCTTTGAACCATATGTGCAATTATGGTACTCACCTTCAAAGACGGGTTATCGCTAACGACTGACAGAATCTCATCGCAAATCAATCGAGAGCTGAGTTTCGACGGTCCTGCATCGGATTCGATATTATACAAGTGTGGGTCGGACCCATTGACCCTATCTTCCAGGAATCGCTTCTCTTCCTGAAAGACGCTGTTAATCGGAACGGGCACTCCTCGTTACGATAATAGATCGTATACCGTGTCGAATTTATCCGATCGACTTTATAATCGGCTGACAACTCCATGTGAAGTTGTTTAATTACCCGGACACAATCTTCTTTGCTACGAAACTCGTCACCCTCTTTTAGTTGCCCTTCTGTTGCGTAGTTAGGGTTGTAGAAAATATTCATTGAGGGTTCATCGTCACCTAAGTCGAGAGTTGTCATGTGTTGAGGTGGGCAATAAACATGGCCAGATGGAACCCCATCTTCCTCGTTGTTCACCATCTCGTCAACAGTGACTTCAACTGCTTCTTCTTCTTCGTCAATGACATTGACTTCAGCGTGTTCCTCGTCAGAATCGCAAAAAAATTGAGAAGATTCCAGTTGTTGAGACAATTGATGTTGTTGTAACGTAACATGTAACATGATATCTGAGAAACCAGAATACTCGTGACTGCGGAAAATGTTACGCACATCTTCATCGTCTCGCACCTTTAACAGGAAAAATTTGCATTCAACATGCCCGCCAAAAAACATTGGATTTTTCTATATTATTTGGCCAACTGGACCACATTGCAGTTTTTTTTCTATTCTTGACTTCAGGTGTATAAAATTAGACCTTCTGTCAATTAAAAATATTGTAACATCAGTGTTTCTGAAATTGTAACCCGATATTTCACATTTGAAAACTTCACCGTTAAGATGTGCGAAAATCATATATTGTGGTGTTTGAGACATAGCGAAAATTGTATTTGGAAAGGCTGGGTGAGTAGAGTTTGGAAAGACATAGCGAAAATTGTATTTGAAAATTGTATTGGAGTCAAATGATTCAAAATTTATCTGATACGCCGGGGCCGTCCCAACAAAACCCTC